TCATTCGGCGAAAGAACCACGCACGAAACCGACAAAAAGCACAGGGAATGGACGTCCGAGCGATGGCCAGCTCCAGCCTTCGGACTTGGTCTCATGCTGCCCCCATCGTGCTCTTAAGTCGGGCCTGTTCCTCCACAGGAGGAGTATTCGAAAAAAACAGTCAAACAAATAGTCGGGGGACGATGTGTTTCACTTTTTTCTGGCATTTGTTGAGCATTTTTTGTCTATGTTTTACTTTTCGCCCAGAATCCCCGTGTAGGAGGACAGGCCCTACTTAAACCTGGCCTTATGCTGCTCCCATCGTACTCAAGGGCCACCTCCCAGAAGTAACCTCGAGCACCCAGGAGAGGAGCGAGACGGTGCCCAGCGAGCATCGCCTCCGAAGGGCCCGGCACGTGAAAGCCCTCCATTTTCGGTACTTTCTTGGTGCTCAAAACTCTTTCTGGCAGTCAAGGCCAGAGTCGGTTGGAACATCACAGCCCTGGCCCTGCTGCTGCCCCTACAGCCGAGCAGGACCACGAGGGGGAGCAGCTCTCCGAGCGTGCACACCTCCTGGCATCGCTCGGGCGTGTGCACTTTCTCTCGGCGCGGGCCCTCGAGGAGCATCTCGAAGCATCCTGCGAAGCAAATCAACGCACGAAGCCGCACCATGCACGGGGAATGGACGTCCTAGGGATGGCAAGCCCTTACATCCTTGCCTTTCGGCCCATCCTGGCCCGTAGCCATGGGCCACCGGTTTCCGCGTCTGGCCTCCATGTCGGAGTCCAGGCGCATCTTTCTGATCTAGTCGGGCCGCCAGAGGGGGGGAGGCCACAGGAAATTACAGAGTGTTCGCAATCACAAGCTTTGGGCCAGTGCTCAAGCCAGGTTGAGCTACAGGCAAGAATCTATGTTCGGCGCACGACGTTGAGGTGCGTGATTGCGGGGGCGAGGGCGACGGCATAGAAACAACAGAAAGAACAACACCATCTCCATTCACGTCTACACCACCTTCGCGTCGTAGTGTGAGCCTGCTTCTCATCACAGGGTGTCCTTTCGGAGGCCTCCCGGTGGACGGACGCCTCAGGCTGCAAGCCTCGGGTGCGTCAGTCCCGCTCAGTGCGGCCTCGCCCCCGCCCCCGCCCCCTCCAGACCCGCGGCGCCCCGATTTCTCCACGAGGGGGGCCGCGGCCCGCTGGCCTCCGCCGCTGCTCTGATGTTCCCGCGCCTCGGACCGCCCTGCTCCTTCGCACACCCCCGACGCCACATGATTTTCTCACAGCGTCCACCCGCACTCGTCTCTCCGCCCGTTGCTCGGGACCCGTTTTTTTCACCCCGCGAGTCGTGTTTCGGCGCTCCCGGGGCCCGGTACTGAAGGGCCCCGACAGGCCGAACAGGATCTGTGGATTTCTACGTGGTCGCTGTTCATGACCCGATGGGGGTCTGGGTCGTGGGCCCCGGGGCCAGGAAGCAACGCCCCCCCCCCCGGGCGCACAGACCGAGAGACCGCCCAGCCGCGTGCCGACGCCTCTTGCTCCGGCGCCCTGGCGGCCCACTGGCCCCCCCCCCCCCCCCCGGCGGCCCCGCGCGCGCCCGCGCGGCCGTGCCGCCGCGGCCCTCTCTCTGCTCGGAGGGGAGGCCCCGCCCAGACAGCGGCGGCGCCCCCGCCCAGCCCAGCTGCGCTCGAGAGCGGCTCCCCCCGTCCTCGGCCTCGTCGTCGTCCCTCCCGGAGTCTCGTCCTCCCCCTCGTCCTCGTCCTCGTCGTCCCCCTCGTCCTCGTCCTCCCCCTCGTCGTCGTCCCTCCTGGAGTCTCGTCCTCCCCCTCGTCCTCCCCCTCGTCGTTGTCCCTCCTGGAGTCTCGTCCTCCCCCTCGTCCTCGTCCTCGTCGTCCCCCTCGTCGTCGTCCTCGTCCTCTCGTCCTCCCGGGCCGCGCGCCGTCGCCGCGGAAGGATCGCCTCCCTGGTGGAGACCGAGGCCGCCACCACTGCGGCGCTGGAGCGGCTCCGCGAGCAGGCCGGCAAGGCCGGGGGTGCCGCGGGCGCCGGCATCGCCCCGCCCCGCCGCTCTCTCCCCGGGGGCCGCCCTCCTCCTCCTCCTCCTCCTCCTCCTTCTCCCTCCTCCTCCCTCCCTCCTCCTCCTCCATCCTCCTTCTCTCTCCTCCTCCTCCTCCTCCCTCCTCCCCTCCTCCTTCCTCCTCCTCCCCCCTCCTCTCCCTCCTCCTCCTCTCCTCCTCCTCCTACTCCTCCTCCTCCTCCTCCTCCTTCTCACTCCTTCCCTCCTTCCTCCTCCTCTCCTCTTCTCCCTCCTCCTTCTCTTTCCTCCTCCTCTCCTCCTCCGCTCCTCTCCTCCTCCTCCTCCTCCTACCCCCTCCTCCTCCTCCTCCACCTCCTCCTCCACCTTCTCCTCCACCTCCTCCTCCTCCTCCTCCTCCTGCTCCTCCTCCTGCTCCTCCTCCTCCTCGAGATCGGGCGTCTTGATTTTTTGAATGCGGGGTCCCTGGGAGTCTCGACCCCTTCCCCAGGACCAGTTTTTCATCCTGAGGCGTTTTTTGACGGTCCCGAGGCCCGGCGAGGGCCCCTAGGGACCGAAACATAGGAAGAACCTCCGTCTTGATCTTTTCAATGCGTTGGCTCTCTGGGGCCCGCAGAGCCGCAGCGGAGAGAGCATCCCTGCCTGCGCACCTCTTGGGGCCGTCTTGGGGCACCATTGGGGGCCTCGGGGGCCATCTAGGAGGAGATACATCAAAGAAGGGGGCTCCTTCCTATGGTCCCCCCCTTCAGGCGGCCAAACTGTGCCCAACACCTTGGTAAACTAAAATGATCTTAGTCAGATCAATGCTTTGGACCGTCTCGCCGAGGCCTCGTGGGGCGTTCTGGATGCCTTTGATGGGGCATCTTGGGGCCTCTTGGGGATCGTTTGGGAGCCTCTTCGGGACATATCTTGCGGGCCTCTTGGGGGCCTCTTGGGGCCTCTTGGGCACCTCTTGGGGCCCTCTTGGGGCACCCTTGGGAGCCTCGGGAGCGATATTGGGATCATCTGGGAGAGGGTCGAGCAAATGAAATGAGGGGCCGTATTACATTAGGCCCCCCCCCAAGGAGGCCAAACTGTGGCCAACACCTTAGTCGCGTAAATCATTTTGGCCTTCTCGCCGAGGCCTCTTGGCGCGTCTTGGGTGCCTCTGGGGGCCTCTTGGGGCGTCTTGGGGGTGTCTTTGGAGACTCTTGGTGGGCATCTTAGCAAGCTCTTGCGGGCCTCTTGGGGCCTCTTGGGGCCTCTTGGGCAGCTCTTGGGGCCGTCTGGGGACACCCTTTGGAGCTTTGGGGACGGCGACGACTCCCTCCCTGGCGACGGCGGCCCTGGTCGTGACGACGGCGGCCCCCTCGACGACCGTGTTCTGGGTGGCGCGGCGGCGGCTGGGGCCCGCGAGACGAGGATGCGGCTACCGAAGCGTCGACGGCATGATCACCTCGACGACCCCCCTCCGCCCCCCGCCGCGACCCCCCCTCGTGGTGGTGTCGTCGGTGGTGTTGGTGGTCGCGTCTGCACGAGTCCGGCCGGCGAGGAGCGCCCTCCTCTCCGCGCCCCCCCTCTCGCTCCGCTGCCACGCCGGGCGGCAGACCCTGCGACGTGCCGTCGTGCACTGCAGTTGACTCACGTCGTCGGACCGTGTGGCCGCGCGTGAAGCCGGCGCCACCGCTCAAGGCGGCGGCGTGCTCGGCTTGTTAAAGTATTTGAGCAGTTTGGACATAGGAATCCAGCTGCTTTTCAGCCAGTGTGTGTGTGTGTGTGTGGAACTTTGGGGGCCATCTTGGGGCAATCTTGGAGGAAATCGATCAAAGAACGGGGAGCTTCCAATTATGCTTCCCCTCGCCTCCAAGGAGGCCACCTTTGACCAACACGTTTGTACAATGCGTGATTGTGGGCTTCCTCGCTGAGGCCATACTGAAGGCTCCAACCCCTCGCGAAAGGCACCGTCCAGGTCCAGGGGGAGAGGGTGGGGGAGGGATCAAGACACCCTCCCTCCCCGCCCACAAGCCGTCTCGCTCACTCCCACACGCCCTCCCAACACATAAGTAGCACCCGAGCCGCAGCATGTTCAGCGGTCGTCTTTGGATGGACAGCGGGAACCAACACAGACCCCATGTGCGCAACGCTGGGGCGAGGTGCGCCACGCGTGCCAGGCACCCCTGAGGCCCAAGTGTGCAAGTGTGCCAGGTACGCCTGGTGCGCCAGACGCGCCACGTGATCCACGTGCGCCGTGTGCGTCGCATGTTCCAGCCGCGCCATGTGCGCCACGTTCGGGGCACGCGCAGAGTGCGCCAGGTGCGCCTGCGCACGTGGCAGTATACACCGGAAAACGTGTCCCCCTTCACACCCACGAAAACCAGTGCGCAATCGCAGCGGGGTGGCCATCATAATGTCTGGTGGGCCTGCGCACAGTAGGCAATACGCCAGCACCCTGGCCGTCCCAGTCAGAAACCAACACGTAGTGATCACGGGGTGTCCGCGCATGATCCAGGTTTTGCCTCGAAGTGCATGATGTACTGTTTATGACCAGGATGTGGCCCTGCGCACAGCAGGCAATATGCGGGCACCCCCGCCGTCCCTGCCAACAAAATCAATACAAAGTGCTTGCGCCCCTCCCGTTCATGACCAAAAACTTTGCCCCGAAGTGGATTTCACATTGTTTTTTGACAAGGGTGGGGGGGGGCGCCGCACTGTTCCTGGTTGGCTGCCGGTCGCCTGAGGGAGGGGGTGTTATCAATAGGAACGGTGATAAACCTTTCCCCGGAGGGGAAGAAGGGGATTGGAAGAGGAACTGCTATAAACCACTCACGCCCTAAAGGGCTGGTGGGAAAACGGTTGCAGCTGCCGCCGCACCGTGTCCCAGATTGTCCCAGATGACTCTCGGCCCCACGCCCCGTTCTCAGCCCCCCTCTCCACACGTGCCGAGACCTGCCCCCAACGTGATCCACCACAGCAGGCCAGTGGGGCCAAGGCCACGCCAGTTGGGATAGGGATCGGTTAAGCAGTGCTCATTCCTGCACATGGTGATCGTTTTCGTATTGTCTGTTTGGCCGGTCGGCGCGGGCCCTCTCGCGCCCCCCCCTCCCCCCCCTATGGAGTAGATCTTGGCTGTTTTTGGCGCCTGTCTTGGGCAGGTGGAGCCTCCCCCACAGGACGCACTGACTGTTGCAAGCGGTCGCACGGAGCAGAGGTCCGGAGCCAGACACCCCCTCCCCTCCCTTCCTCGGGGGTTGCTAAAGGTGACCCTGGCCCAGGTGTGCTCTGGAGGCCGTGGGGGCCTCCTTAGAAATCCTGGGGGCACCTTGGGCCAGGGGCACTTCTAGCAACACCCGACCTCCCCCTTCCGCGCAATGTTAGGGGGCCACATGCGAGCCCTACCCCTACCCCCCACGACTTCTGAGGGGGAGGGTGGGGTTCACTTCGCTCGGGAGCTCCCAGACGAAGTGAACCCCACCCTCCCACAGAGAAATCGTGGGAGATGGGGGTAGGGCTCGCATGTGGCCCCCTAAATGTCGAAACGCCGAATCGGACGGCGATCACACGAAGAGCGGCGCACGTGCGCACTTGCCGATGGGCAAGATCGCCCGGGATCTCCACGGCCCGGCGGCCCCCGCGATGGGGGGGCCCGGGTTCCTCTCGCCGCGCGCCGTGCACAGGCGCGCACGCAGCTCGACGAGCTGCAGCGCGACATGGCAGGCCTGAGTCAGGGGAGGGGGCAGCAAAACCTCGAGTCCTCTTCCTCCTCCTCCTCCTCCTCCTCCTCCTCCTCCTCCTCCTCCTCCTCCTCCTCCTCCCTCTTCATGCTCCTCCTCTTCCCTCTTCATGCTCCTCCTCCTCCTCCTCCTACTCCTCCTCCCCCTCCCTCCTCCTGCCTCCCCCTCCTCCTGCTTCTCCTTCTCCTCCCCGGCCTCCTGCTTCTCCTTCTCCTCCTGCTCTTCCTCCTCCCTGGGGGAGGGCCGCGCGCCACCGAGGGGAGCAGGGGAGCCCGGTGAGGAGCTCCTGCTCGGCGCGTCGCGCCGCCGCTTCTGGCCCAGCGCCGCCTCGCCGCGACACGCCCACCGCGTCCCGGCCCTCGGACGTCAAAGCCCCGAGCCTCCCCGAGCCTCCCGCCCCAGGAGACCAGGGGCGGCCCGCTGCAGGCGCGGCGCGTCGCTGGGGCCCCCCCCGCCGCGACACGCCGAGCAAGAGCTCCTGGTCGGCAGGGGGTCCACGGCGGCCCAGCGCGGCCAGGCCCAGCGCGGCCAGGCCGAGCGCGGCCAGGCCGAGCGCGGCCAGGGCGATCGCGGCCAGGCCGAACGCGGCCAGGCCGAAGGCTGCCAGGCCGAGCTCGGCCAGGAAACGCGCGGCCAGGCCGAACGCGGCCAGGTCGATCGCGGCTAGGCCGAACTCGGCCCCGGCTGAGCGCGGCCTGGCCGAGCTCGGCCGGGCCGAGCTCCCCCTCTCCCCGGGGGTATGAGAATAGGAGCTCTCGTCGAGGAGCGGGAGCAGGAGCGAGAGCGGGGGAGGGGTGCGGCAGGAACCCCGGGCCCGGGCCCCGGCAGGAGCGGAGGGGGAGGCGGTGGGCGTGGAGGCCGATGCAGAGGGCCAGGGGGAAGCGGGGGCAGGACGAGGGGCTGGACAGGGAGGAGTTGGGGAGGAGGGGGGGCGGAGGGGCGGGAGAGGGGGGGTGCGGGGGGCGTCATCACCACCACCATACATGTAAATCAATACATATACATAGAGCTATAACTATGTATGATGGTGGTGCTGGCGGTGGTGGTCATGGTGGTGGTGGTGATGATGATGATGATGGTGATGCTGATGATGATGATGATGATGATGATGATGATGACGATGATGATGATGATGATGACGATGATGATGATGATGATGATGATGATGATGGTGATGTTGGTGCTGGTATTGCTGATGACGGGGCGACGGCGATGACCGCGACCGCGACGATGGCTACGACGACGACGACAACGACGACGACGCTGACGATGACGATGATGATGCTGTTGCTGCTGCTGCTGCTGATGATGATGATGATGATGATGATGATGATGATCATGATGATCATGATGCAGATGATTATGGTGGTGGTGGTGGTGGTAGTGGTGGTGATGCTGCTGCTGATGATGATGAGGAGGAGGAGTAGGTGGAGGAGGAGGAGGAGGGCGAGGATAACGACGATGGTGATGTTGGTGGCGATGGTGATGTTGATGGCGATGGCGATGGCGCTGGTGATGGTGATGGTGATGGTGATGATGGTGGTTGTGATGATGATGGATGGTTGTGGTGGTTGTGGTAGTGGTGGTGGTGGTGGTGGTGGTGATGAGGATGCGCTGGAAGATGATGATGCTGATGATAATGATGATGCTGATTCTGATGATGAGGATGATGATGCTGATGATGCTGATGTTCATGATGCTGATGTTGATAGTGATGATGATCATGTTGTTGTTGATGATGGCTATGATGGGAATGTTGGTGATGATGATCGTGATGATGCTGAGGATTATGGTGATAACGATGACGATAACGATGGCGCTGATGATGATGGTGGTGGCGATGACGATGGCGATGATGATATTGAGTCTTCGGATCTTGTTGTCGTTGATGCTGATGATGCTTGCGGAGCTGGGGCTGGCGGCCTGGACCGGAACCTCTTCTCCTGCCTCCTTCTTCCGCCGTTGGTTAGACTTAAGTCGGGCATGCCCCTCTTCAGGAGAAACATTCAGAACTAGTTTTAACAGCTTTTGAGCATGTTAGACTATTTTTGAATATTTGTTGACCATTTTTTATTTTTCGTCCACAATCCCCCTGTAGGGGGACACGCCCGACCTAAGGCTAGACATAGCAGTGACCTTTGGCCCGAGTGACCTCTGGTGCGGGCCCTCCAGGGCCTCCAGGTGGAGGAGGGCGAGGAGGGGAAGGACGAGGAGAGAGGACGAAGGGGAGGGCGAGGAGGGGAGCACGAGGAGGAGGGCGAGGAAGGAAAGCGAGGAGGGGAAGGACGAGGAAAGGGAGGACGAGGAGAGGGAGGACGAGGGGGAGGGCGAGGAGGGGAGCACGAGGAGAAGGGCGAGGAGGGGAAGCGAGGAGGGAAAGCGACGAGGAGGGGAAGGACGAGGAGAAGGAGGTCTCAGGGCCTGCGGGCGGCCGACTGCGATGCGCCGGCGCCGGTCCTGAGTGCTCCTGCTCGGCCTCCCCGCGGGCCACTTGAAGGTCGCGCACGCCGACGGCCGCGCGTGCCTACTGGGCCACTCTTACGTGCAGTGGCCGACTCCTTCCCATCTCCTCTTATCTCTTCCTGCCTTCACCGCGCGCGCTCCACTGCTCGCAAAGCGCGATTCGCAAACGTCCGACAAAAGCACCGCTTCGCCTCGCTGTCATGGATCGTGACTCCTCCCCGCGGCCCGCGGCGGATCCAGGCCATTTGCGAGCAGTGACCTTGCGAGTGGTGGAACGCGCTTGTCTACAGTGTGGGCGCGCATCAAGAAACCGTATATTTTTCGTCAGGGTATCCTGGGTTTCTTCGCTCCGCGCGTTGCGCGGCGACTTCCCGCGGCCGCGGAAGGAGCTGCTGCGTTCAGGGTGCTTCAGGTTTCCCCTCCAGTGCACTCCGCGCGCGGGCTTTCAGGGTTGGGTCTCTTGCGAGGGTTTCTTGCGGCCGCGCCCGCACTGTATCACTCAGAGCGTGAGTTACCTACCCCGCTTTCGCTTCCAGGCAAGACCAAGTCATACCACGCGCCTCCTCGTCAAGCGGCCTGACCAGTACAGGCCGTAGTTTGGCATCGCTTGGTATCTCTTGGAAGCGAGGGTGGTCAAAAGCGAGGTAGGTTTGTTTGCCCCCTAATCACTGCGTGAGCCCGCCTGCGTATCGCACGTTTGGGGCCACGGCCTCGAGGTCATGCCCTGATGGGCGCGGGCGGGCTCGCCGCAGGAGCGCGCACGACTCTGCCGTGCGCTTCGCCCCGTTTCCTTCTCGCTTCGCTTCGCTCCTTCCCCTCCTCCTCCTCCTCCTCCCTCCTTCCTCCTCCTCACCTGCCTCCCCCTCCGCCCTCATTCCTCTTTCCTCTTTCCTCCGTCTCATGCTTCTCCCACCTCCCGTCTCCCTCCGAGGGCCCCCTACTTGTACGGGGGAGGGTCCTCCTTTGAGCTCTTTGCTCTTCAAGGAGGGGTATTCCCGAACGGGCTCCTTCAGGGATGAGCCCGCTCCTTCGAGGATGGTCCCCAAGTGGCCGCAGGGGGCGGAATAGGTCTTCTCTGCGTCCACGGTCGCTCAGCCGCCGCCCCGCCGGCCCGTCAGACCACGAGCGGAAGAAGGAGGAGCTGCAGGCGCAGCGGGGCGGCATCATGCAGGACATCCAGAACATCACCGCGCACGAGCGGCAGATACAGCAGGACCGGGTGGCCACTGGTGGGCAGGCAGACGTGCACAGGAGAGGGGACGGTGTGACGACTCCTCGCGCACCTGGCTCTTTCTCTCGCTCTCTCGTCTCCCCCTGCTGTTTTTGTTGAGTCGGGCATGTCCCTCTACAGGAGGAGCATCCAAGAATAAGCAACTTTTATTTTTCGTCCCAAATCCGCCTCTGGGGGGACACGCCCGACCTAACGCTACTTGATTGTAGGTCTTCCTTCTCCTTCCTCTCGTTCGTTTACTTTCACCGCGCTTCGGTCGTCACGCCTCGCTGCCGACTGCTGCTGATGCTGACGGCTCCGCTCATCAACATTCTTTCTTCTACCCCTGCCGCTGCCCCTTCTCGTACGCGTCCTCGTCGTCGCCACGGCAACTGCCGCCGTCGTCTTCGTCGTCGTCGTCCTCCTGCTCCTCCCTGCCTCCCCGGGTGCTGTCACTCCTCCTCCTCCTCCTGCCTCCCTCCCTTCCTCCCTCCCTCCCTCCTTCCTCCCTCCCTCCTTCCTTCCTCCTTCCTCCTCCTGATCCTCCCTCCTTTCCCTTGTCCACCTGCTTCTCCTCCACCTGCGAATCCTCCTCCTCCTACTCCTCCTACTCCTCTTCCTCTCTCTCTCTCTCTCTTCTCTTCTCCCTCCCTTCCTCTCCCCCCCTGGCGACGACCCGCCGCCGGCACGCATGCCGCCGCCGCGCCGCCCCCTCGACACGGGAGCGCGCGTGCGGCGCTGGGGCCGGCCCGGGATGAACGACGGGTCCCGGTGGAGGGTTGGCACGAACGAAGTGGGTACGGAAAGAATGGGTGCGATGCCCAACAGCAGCTCTCGTTCGTGTGGAACAGGACCCGTTGTCCGCGCCGCCGCGGCCCGTGTCCAGTCAAGACAGACGGCCGCCTGCCCAACAGCGGCCGCTGCCAGCTTGGGGCAAGATTTGTTGTTGGGCGTTGTGCCCACTTCTGGCGTCCCGGCGGAGGGGGTGCAGACCTCGAGGGCTCCGCGCTGCGAGAAGTTGACGGCCTCGGGGGTCTGGGGCCTGTCCCGAGGTCTTGGCGCCGTGGGTGGCCGTCCTCGGCGCGAACGGCGTTGTTGTTGTTGTTGAACATTATTAATTCTAAAGAATAATTATTGTTGGGACCCCTGGTGCACGGCCCCCCCGCCGCGCCTAGGCCGCAGCTACATTTTCATAATTTTTTCGCGAAAGCTTCAGAAAAGTGGATGGGGTCCAGATCCGGTTGTTTTGTTGTAATCCGTTTTCCCTTGCAAAAAACACTATAAAATGACATTTCTTGTTCTAATATAATCAAATTTCAAGAATCCCTTGCAAAAAATAAGGTAAAGTGGACATTCGCGCGCGCAAGACGAAATCCTTCCAAAAGCTTAGTGTTCGGAGCGATTTTAACATAAAAACATCAAAAAACCAATGGTTTTTCAACAAAAAATGTCAAAATCTCATCCCGCGCGCTCTTGCGGATTCGTAGGAAACCCAACACTTTTTAAACATTTCTGTCAAACGGGCTTTTGCGAGCAACTTTTTCGAACTTCTGCAACAACGGTTGCGCACCTGCCAGGGCCATCATCCCTGTCAAATAATACCATGCGGGACACATTCGTTTTTTCTTCGCGCGCGCACGCCGTCGTCGTCGGCCGCGGGGCCCTGAATAGTAGCCACGGTCGTCCGCATGCCACGAAGTGAAGTGTCCGAACGTCATAGGGCGGGAAGCTGGGTGTGGGTGGTGGCGAAGAGTCGTTTGGAAATTTGGTAGAGCTTGAACCGGCCCCCCCACAAAGTGGGGGTATTGCCCGCCTCCTATGAAAACCCTGGCACTGGTGAGAACGGAGTGTCCCCACGTGCTAGTAATTGTTGTTGTTGTTGTTGTTGTTGTTGCTGTTGCTGTTGCTGTTGCTGTTGTTGTTACTGTTGCTGTTGCTGTTGCTGTTGCTGTTGCCGTTGCTGTTGCTGTTGCTGTCGCTGTTGCTGTCGAGTTCTTTTTTCTCCCTTCCTCCCCCCCCCTGGCGGCGACCCGCCGCCGGCATGCCGCCGCCGCGCCGCCCCCTCGACACGGGAGCGCACGCGTGCGGCGCTGGGGCCTGCCCGAGATTCACCGAGCGCGTTCCATTACTCGCGGAGTGCCTACTCGCAGACGTCCGAAAAGACGTGTCTTCCTCAGTGCAGAAGAGCGTACATCCGCCGCGGAAGGTTCAGTCCAGTTGCGAGTCGCTGCCTTGCGAGCTGTGGCCGCGATTGTCGAGGGATGAAGAACGGGTCCCGGTGGAGGCGGTGCCGACCTCGGGGGTTCACGCTGCGAGAAATGGACGACCTCGGTGGTTCGGGGCCTGTCCCGGATGTTGGCGCCGTGGGGGCCGTCCTCGGCGCGACCGACGTTGCTGTTGTGGCAAGTGTTGCTGTGGTTGCTGTTGTTATTGTTATTGTTGTTGCTGTTGCTGTTGCTGTTGTTGTCGTTGTTGTCGTTGTCGTTGTTGTTGTTGTTGTTGTTGTTGTTGTTGGTGTTGTTGTTGTTGTTGTTGTTGTTGTTGTTGTTGTTGTTGTGAGTGTTGGTGCTGGTGTTGGTGTTGTTGTCGTTGCTGCCGTTGCTGTTGCTGTTGCTGTTGCTGTTGTTGTTGAATTCTCATTTCTAAAGCATAATTATCGTTGATCCCCCCGGCCTGGTAGCCATCGTATTTTCCCAGTGAAGTGCTTTTTTCCGGGACTCGCACCCTGTTTTGTTGCAAGGGGAAGCGAGGTGTCACCAAACTGCGCCCCTGGCCCCCGGTTTACAACAACATCCGCTCCCGCCTGATCTTTCCTCGCAATCTATCTCCGAACCGCGCTCTCGCGCGGGGCGTCCTCACAATGTATGCAGGAGTCGTGCTCTCGCGTGGGACTTCCTCGCCATCTGTTCAGGCGCCGCGCCCTCGACACTCAGGAATCACTCTCTCGCTGTGGATCCCATGAGGATGTATTTGGGAATCGCGCTGTCGTTTTAGACTTCCTCGCGATTCGTGCCGTAATCACGACTCAACGCCGCCTGCTCGACCCGGCCGCTTTGGGCCCGCCGTCCCGACCCGCCCGTCAGGGTGTACCCGCCCGTCTGGTTCTGCCACGTGTTCTCTGCTCCTGGCCCTTCCTGCCACTCTTTCTCGTACTCCATCCTCCTCCCCCTCGTCCCTTCCTCAGGGGCTGCACGGAGTGCACGTTGCAGGTAAGAAAGACGTATCACCCTAAGGGTGTACGATCGGAGTCGAAGAGGGCGGGTATCCAGGGTTCGGGATGTACGTGTTGAGTGGTCCGCGAGCAGATAAGAACTGACTGCTGTTGTTGATGATGTTGTGTTTGGTGTTGTTGGTGTTGTTGTCGTCGTCGTCGTCGTTGTCGTTGTCGTTGTCGTTGTTGTTGTTAGTGGTGTGGTTGCTTTTGGTGTTATTGTTGGTGTTGTTGCTGTTGTTGGTGTTGCTGTTGCTGTTGCTGCTGCGGGTGTTGTTGTCGTTATCGTCGTCGTCATCGTGGTTGGTGTTGTTGCTGTTGCTGCTGTTGTTGTTGGTGGTGTTAATGTTGTTGTTATTGTTATCAGTTTGCTTGTTGTCGTGGTTGTTGCTGTTACTGTTGTTGTTGTTGGTGGTGTTGTTGTTGCTGTTGCTGTTGCTGTTGCTGTTGCTGTTGCTGTTGCTGTTGTTGTTGTTGTTGTTGTTGTTGTTTCTTGTTGTTGAATATTAACTACTTAACAGTCATTATTGTTGGACCCCCCAGGCGCCTTGGCGCTCTCGCCGCGGCGAAGGCCACATTTTCATTGAACATGAGGCTCCCGCCCGAGCGGTTTGGGGGGGCGCCAAAACCGGCCCCCCAACAACAACAACGCTCCAGCTCGAGACTTTTTCCTTTTTTGCTCAGGGCCGGTGCTCTTGCTCGCCGCCGAACGCAGCCGTCCCAACAAAACCAGCGCTACCGCTCGGGATTTCCTCCCGTTTTACTTTGGCTTGGCGCGCTACTCTTTCTCTCATCGGCGCCGCCCCCAGCAACAACGCTCCCGCTCGAGACTATCCCCTTTTTTTACTCAAGGCGGTGTTCCTCCTCGCCGCCGAAAACTGCCGTCCCAACAAAACCAGCGCTACGGCTCGGGACCTCATCCCGTTTTACCTTCGACTGGCGCGCTACTCTTTCTCTCATCGGCGCCGCCCCCAGCAGCAACAACGCTCCCGCTCGAGACTTCCTCACTTTTTTCCTCAAGGCGGTGTTCCTCCTCGCCGCCGAAAACCGCCGTCCCGACAAAACCAGCGCTGCCGCCCGAGACTTGCTCCCGTTTTACGCTGGACTGGCGCCCTATTCTTTTTTGCATTGGCGCCGCTCCTAGCAAGAACAACGCTCCTGCTCGAGGCTTCATACTTTTTTCCTCACGACGGTGCTGTTCCTCGCCGCCGACAGCCCCCGTCCCGACAAAACCACGGCTACCGCTCGAGACTTCTTCCGTTCTTACTCAAGGCGGTGTTCCTCCTCGCCGCCGACAACCGCCGTCCCAACAGAACCAGCGTTCCCGCTCGAGACTTCGTTTTGCTTTACGTTGGACTAGCGCCCTACTCTCTTCAGTATTGGCGCCGCTCCCAGCAACAACGGCGGCCCTGCTCGAGACTTCCTCCCTTTCTGTTCAGGGCCAGGTCCTTGCCTCGCCGCCGAAAGTCCCCATCCCCACCAAGGCAATCCTGTCGCTCGATACTTCATTATGCTATAGCCTTGGCTGGGGCTCCACTTGCGGTCTCGCATCGGCGCAGCAAGGCGCGGGCATGCGTTTTCGAGGCGGTATATGTTGAACTTCCTCGGAGGAGGTGTTTGCAAGACCTCATTGGGCGGGAGATCTGGGAATGGGAATAACGGACCCCGCTATAGAACAATAGTCGCCCATGATGGTGATTGTTATCATGATGGTCGCATGCCTCGTGTGGAAACATCGCGCAGGAGGGTAAACTGATTGCTGTTGCTTTTCCTATAAACAAGCATTAGTGTT